AATGTGGCCGGGCCTCAAGGGCACCCTGTGGACTGGGAAAAGCCAAGTTCAAAGGTCACAGAGTGGAATTCCACGGATACAACATCCTCCAGACAGGGCTTCTGACCTCATCCACCCGTGGCCCCTTTTCACCTGGGGAATCTGCACCACGGAGCAGTGCTGCCAGAAACACCTCGGGTTCATCACGTGCTTGATTTTGGTACTGCATTCTTTAGAACTGAAAACTATTAACACTTGGAGAATTTGGGTGAAGAGTGTGGTATAGAGGAATTTCTTATGCTATTTCTGTAATTTCTTTGTGAAACTTCTATTTCAAAATGGAAATGCAGAGGTACAGACTGACACAGGACTTCCTGGAAGAGGTGCTGCTGCCCTAGGCGAGTCTCAAAGGATCAATATACAAATACCCCCGGGCAGGTTTAGGCCTGGTCTCGGGTCTTTCCCGGAGTACTTATCTGCCTGTTATACAGGCCTCTGTGACCTGCATTGGACTACATGACTGAACCCCTGCATACAGAGCACCTCTTTGCCTGAGCAGCAAAGAGCCAGGGCAGGCAAAGGCTGCCCTCACACAGTTAGGGCACAGACACCACTGGGGATGGCGGGTTTCCCTGGGAAGGAAGGTGGTGAGGCCAGAGGGACAGAGCTCCTCTGGACCCCATCCCACAGGGGGTCTGGTCACCCAGGAAGCAGGCAACCAATGGTGGCAACTTGATTTCTGTCCAGGAGATGAATGGGAGCTGGCCATTTTGATCCAAGTTGTGGCCAGAAGTATTCCGTGACTCTTCTGCCCCTTGGCACATCTCGTCTCAATTACAGAAGTGGTGCCTTGAAATCAAGCATCCCAGCTTCCCTTTCTCCAAGCCACTCTGTGAGCCCAGACATGGGCTGGGCACACGGTTAGTGTGAGGCTCTTTCCCAGGTCTGACTTGCATTTTCCTTGGGTCCTGATCTCACCTGACTCTTGGGTCACCTGGCTCTCTCCTTTAATTTGGTCCCGAAGCTCCCATCCTGGCTCCAGTGTGCATTTACCCTAAAGCACCACTCTCGGTTTCCTTACCAGGGGCAAAAAAACAACCAACAAGCACTGTGTGGGGGAAGTCCAATAACCAAACCTGCAAACCAATTACTGGGTACTAACAAGGGGGTAAGTTTGCGTCCCCGTGCGCAGTGCAGGAACCTGTGGGGTCAGAGCCCAGACTCTGCTCCGCCTGCTTCTAGCTCCTGGTGCCCAGAGCAGTGTCCAGCTTACTGCAGGTCTGCAAAAATGCTGGGCGAATGCAGTTCCCGTGCTTGCAGTCAAAAAACTGAACCGTGTAATAAGCGTGATGTAGTTTTCTTGTCTAGCGAGGTGGGATAGCTTTACATTTAAAACCTTAACCTTAAATTGCTTTTATACAAGGGCTCAAGCAGAAAGCGAATGTTTTGAGAATGATGATGTCAACAAATGTATGAATGTGCTTGACACAATGTATGGATGTATGGATTGTGATAAGAGCCCCCAATAAAATGATTTTTTAAAAAAAGAATAAATCCTCTCCTTAAATAAGAAAAACAAACAAACCTGTTTTTATAATTGGCCAAAAAGACACATTAAGTCTCATTTTATACTGATGAGGAGTAAATGAAATGCAGCACGGGATCACAGTTACCAGCAACACGCTGGGGGCAGGCGGACTGAGGTCAAACACTAGCCCCCCACGGTCTTGGTGTACACACAGGGCTCCCTGTGTCTCCATTTCCTGACCTGAACAATAAGGACCAAGTCACCTTCCTGATAGGGCTACTTGGAGGATTGATTAAGTTCCAGAACACCTGTCCAGAGCCCAAGGCAGTGCCCAGGGCAGGGCAGCAGTACACGAAGAGGTGGCCACCCTGACTACATAGGGCTACTACTGCCCAGAGCAGCAGGTTCCGTGAAGCCCCTAGGCATCGGCCATGGACTAGGGGGTCCTGGCTCTGGTAGGAGGGTGCCCAGTGGAGGGGGAGAGGCCATGACTTCGAATCCTAACTCCGTTACTTCTTTGCTGTGAAATTTTGGGCAAAGGACTTTGCTCAGGGTCTCAGTTGCCTCATTTGAAAAGGGGATGTCGCCACTCAGTCCCTAACGTTTGCTGACTGTGGCAAACCTGGAAACGGGACAACACAAACCTTCTCCTGCTCGGGGTGGACTTTCAGGTCCATGCACATTTCCAGGAACTGGGAGAGCAGGGCCTGGTCCAGGAGGATGTACACGGCGACGCCCTGTTTCCGGCAGATGTCCTGCAGGTCTCTGAAGATGTCCATGTCGGTGAACACGTCCATCACTACCGCAATCACCTACCGGGGCACAGAGAGGAAAGGACAAGCTGTGAGTCCACAGCCCTTCCAGCTGGCAGCCCGCGGTCCCGCCGTGGACCCCCTACTCAGGGCCAGGAAAGGACTCCACCTACAGTCACCCTTCCTCCTCCTCCTCCTCCATAACATCGGTTTCCCGACCATTGGGGCTTATCCAGCTCCAAAGACAGCCAGGCCAGGTAGCCCACAAATCCTGACGTGGCCCTGCCCTCCAAGCCCCGATCCAGCTACGCAGCGAAGGCTCAAGAAAGAGCTATTGACGTACTACACTGCCTTGCCTCCAGTGAGCCCAGGCCATCCGTGTCCAAAACCCCTTCCTTTCCGGAGACCTCTTCTAGCAGGCTCGGTTCAGACCAGGCTTTACTGGCTCTGTGCCAGCAAGCCCCCACCAGGCAGGCTGCAGTCCTTCCTGGGCTTTCCCTCTCAGCTGCAAAACAAGTTAATAAAACTATAGAGCCCCTCCCAGGCCCTCCGGGCTGCAACAGCCTCAGTCTGTGGCCCGGATTATTATCTGATTCTGGATCCGAATCTGATTTCGGATTATAATCTAGAAAGGGCCACGCCACCTGCCCCAACAATGGTCAGTCGCTGCCAGCACCCTTTTTAACCCTGCAGGACACACACACACACACACACCCCACTGCCGTGAGCTGCCACTGAGTCAGTCCCCGATGCACAACAGCATGGGACACTGCCCGGTGGGTCCTGTCCCATCCCCACCACCGGTTGCAATAGGATCACATAGGATCCATAGGGTTTTCATTGGCTGATTTTTCTAAATTAGGTTGCCCAGCCTTTCTTCCTAGTCCGTCAGAGTCAGGAAGCTCTTTGGAAACCAGCTCAGCGTCAGCCACCTGGAAGCCTCTGCTGGCAGAGGGTGGGTGGCTATGTGTGTGGGGGTGCACTGGCAGAGAACTGCACAGGACCTCCCATATGGAGAGCAAGAACTCTACCGCAGAACCACCCCGGTCTCCTTGCCTCCTCCCCTGGTCCGTCCCCATCAGCTGCCTGCTGCATGGAACCTAACCAAGCGGCTCCCATGGCACCAGCCTCTCCCCTACACAGGAGCCTGTCCATCATGCAACGGGAAGGACACATTGAGCTCAGACCAATTCCTTCTCCCAACACCACTCCATGTGCCCACCAACTGACGCCCCAGGCCCAGCCTTAGGCTACAGCCGAAAAGCAGCTTCTTTGCCGCGTGTCACTGGGCTGTCATCCAGGGCTTTCCTTAGCTGCCAAATAGGTTTCTCCAAACTCATGGAGTCAATTCTGACTCCTAGCAACCCCGTGGTCTCAGGCAGAACTGCCCCTGTGAGTTTCCGACACTGTCGCTCTGTACGGGAGCAGAGTGCCCCATCTTTTCCCCAGGAGCAGCTGGTGGTTTCAAACCGCTGACCTTGCAGCTAGCAGTCCAACTGGTCACCATTACGCCACCAGGACTCCTCAAAAAGGCTTCCAGTGGGAACTAATCGATGCTGTGGGCCAGCCCAGAATCTGAGCGGAGCTCCCCAGACAGCTCGACACAGGGAGGCATCTACTCTCCTCGCCAAGGAGCGGCCCTGTCATCACAGCCTCGGCCAACTCCTGGCAGGGCTGCGGGCTGTCCAAACAGCCAGGCTGGAGACAAGTCCTTGCAGATGGAGACACAACTCAGGGGCGTCAATGAGGCGCGCACTCCCGGAGCCCCACTTCAGCAGCTCCCGTGCAGGCGCAAAGGCTTTCTCCCTTCCCGCAGCTTCCACGGGTATGGGCTGCGTCTCCTGGGGTGACACGCCATCTTTGTCTGAGCTGTGAGGTTATATGAGGGGTCCCTGGGTGGTGCAAACAGCTAAGCACTCAATTATTAACCCAAAGGTTAGTGGTTTGAGTCCACCCAGGGGTGTCTCAAGGAGCCCTGGTAGTGTGGGTTTGCATGTTGAGCTGCTAATCACAGGAGCCACAGTTTGAGCTCATCAAGCTGCTCGAGGGAGAAAATGAAGCTTTCTGCTCCTGTAAAGATGTGCAGCCTCGGAAACCCACAGGGACAGTTCTCCTCTGTCGTGGGAGTCAGAACGGACGCGGTGACAGTGAGATGGAAAGTTAGAGATGCCTCAGAAGAAAAGCCTGGCGATCCGCTTCCAAAAGACAGCTGCCACTGACACCCCCATAGAGTTCTGCTCTGCAGGCGTGGGGTCGCCACGCGTGACTTAGAAGGTCACTGACTCACAGGGCAGAGGCCCTTCCAAGGGTCGAGTCACTTCTGTGGCCCCAGAGGACTCGGGACAGCGGCTGCCCCTTCAGTGTGCCATCAGGCAAAGAAATGCGGACACAAAGGGCCAGTACTGCCGTCTATCGCCAAGAGAACCTTCCCCCCCAGGGGCGGTCGAAACACCCGGAATTCAGCTCTGCGGAGGCTGGCACCAGGTTCTCACCTCTTGGTTACCTTGCCTGCCCCCACCACTCTGATCCTGATGCAGCCCTGGTTATTTTTATTTTTCTTAGCGATTTTTTTTGAGGGGTGAGTGTAGAAATATACGCAGCAAAACCAGCTCCTGCTCCTGCTCCACTTTCCAGGCACAAGACCAGCGGCAATGGTTCCGTGTGTCAACAGCAGCCTTAGCTCCGTTCCCATTTCTCTCCCACTTACTTCATCCCCCACTTTCTCACAGATGCTCTCAAATAAATGATCTCCTATCATTTAAAAAACCCACAATAATCAGGGGTGATGATCTTTACTCTGAGCTAAATGGTTAAGTAGCTTAAAGCTGACTTCAGGGGAATCAATTTCAATTCAAGGTTTGAAGAGCAACTCAAGACTATAGTATATTGGGGAATCCTCCCGCCTCGACAGGCCCAGTAGGGTTTGACGGTCGGTTCCACATTCCCTCCCTTTTTAATCAGGATTCACCTACTGTATTCCTGATCAAAACCGCATTATTGGTAGCAGGGCACCAACTAGTTCTGGCGTCAAGGTGAAGGAGGGAGGTAACTGTTCTGGGCAGGACCACTGATTTCAAAATTAAGGTGAATTCTTTCTGAACCGTTGTGTCCTTCTAAGGGTTATTTTTTTCAATTAATCATTTTATTGGGAGCTCTTACAGATATTATAACATTCCATAATTCAATTAGATCAAGCATAACTATACAATTGCTACCACAATACGTTTTGGGGTGTTTTTTTTTCTGGCTGTGTAATCCCTCATTCCATCTGGACCTGCCACAAAGACAGACAGAAAGCGCAGGGACCTTTTATATTTTCACATCCTAGTGCAAACCAGAACAGCGGTCAATTGTCCCAGGTCTATCAGAGGATGCTCCCACAATAAGTTTCCAATCATTTTCTTTCTTCTTGAACTCTTTCATATCAGTTCCACTTTATCCCCTCCTTACCCCATAGGAACTCTTATTATTCTTATTATATATCAGTCTTATCCTTTTTTTTTTTTTTTTTGCCATATCCTACCCCATCCAGTCTATCCATTCTCCTACAATTCTGCTGTTGGCTACCCTCCAGTGGGGTTATTCAGTCATTATTGCTATCAACTCCCCCTTCCCCTTCCTCTTCCCATATCCTCAGGGAATCATTACCCCTGTTACTGTTTCTGAAGGGTTATCTATCTTGGCTTTCAAGCATCAAACACTCTTAATTATACAAATGAACACACGCAGATCTAACAAGATTAATGAGTTAAAACGAAGGCCATAATAGTGGGGGGAGGAAATATTAAAGAACTAGAGGATAGTTGTGTGTTTCATCAGTGTTGTACTGCATCTTGGATATATCATCCTGTCCAAGTGGCCCTTCTGTGAAGGACTGTCCGATTATTTTACAGGCGGCTTTTGGGTCTCCACTTCGTCCACACTCTTTCTCATCAATTTGGTTGTTTTTGAACTTCTGATACCTAACTTTAAAATGGGTCAAAACTGACTCACAGCAACCCTAACAAACAGAGTAGAACTGCCCTTGTGGGTTTCCTAGACCATAACCCTTTATGGAAGTAG